ATTTCTGTTCATCAGTGACAAAGACATGCTTTTGTTGGTTCACAGGAAGGTACTGAGAGATGGTTCAAAGACTGAAGATTAACCAGTTTTATGGAGCACCAACAGCTATGAGACCATTGGGTGCAGAAATACGACCGCTCCACCCTCATAACGGTATGAAAGAGTTACTGAAATTATTGGCATCTAATGTAAAAATGTGTGTCGTGTAACAATTTTGCACGGGCAAGCTGTTGGTGCAACATTGTGTAGCACAAACACATAAATTAATATTTTATTATTTTTGTAGTTTCCCTTTCTGACAACTATGTTGTAACACAGTAGAGCCATTTGTTAAATCATCATCATCATCATAAAATATGTCAATTTTTTAACAACTGCACTACCTCACCCTAATAGCAACAATGGCCTGTTTTATTGTATGATTTTATTTTTGTTATAAAATGCCCTTGGCTGTTCATTTGTCTTCTATTTATATTTGAATTGGTTGTTTTTATTCTATTTTTTGCCTGTTTGCACCTAGGGTCAGAGAGAACTGTAATTTAATTGTATCTAGATGTATGGCATATTCAAATGAAGTTGATTTGCATTCACATTTTAAGGTATAAACTTACATTTTGTTATTTTTTCAGAGTTTTACTTAGCTATGTTCATTTTTGTTGTTAAAATTCAGAAAAAACTTTTTTGCTACGCCAACATAGGATCACAGTAAAATACTACACCAATAATACTATACCATAAGTTCCTGAAGTAATCTCCGAAAATAAAGGTTTCTCAAAAATGACTAAAAATACACTAATTTGCCGTAAAATACTTAAGATATTAGGATCCTATAAAGAGTTAATGCAGTTTCTATTGATTCTAGTGTGGTTGATAGAAGCTGAATTAGAACAAAAGTTCATCAACTTTCAGGCTTATTTCAACCCTAATATTGAAAAAACATTTACACTTTTCAGAATCAAATAAACAGACAGAATAGTTTCCTCGACCTGAGTGTCATTGGTGTAAGAACTGTATCAGCATCTGATGGCTGTTTTCCTTTTCTTTCATTCTTTCTAGGTGTTTATGCCTTTGTGGTGCTAAAAAAGAGCGTGGACACCAAGGAGCAAGAACTAAGTTGCCAACTGTAAGACATGGTTTCTCAAAAGATCGCCAAGTACGCCTGTCCGGACGGCATCCAGGTAAATCTGTTTCACTCAATTGACACGTTCAAATTAGTAAAGAAAACAGGAGACGTGGATGTACATGAGAATTCTTCAGCTTTTTATTTTATGGCTTCAACAATATCACAACATTTCATGTGTTAATCTGTAAACCATCAGAAACAGCACATTAGCAACATTAGCATAAAACAATCATCAAAGTCGTAGCAGAGTTTTTCCATTAATGTTGAACAACATATATCTTCCCTGACTCTGTCTATCCATTCCGTAAAAATATTTGAAGGCTTTCACCAAGAGTAACAAAGGTGTT